AGAAGTGACAATATAGACCCTTCCTCTGTCCCATCTCTGACTCCATGACATTAGCCATTTGGTAAATCACCTTCATTTATCTATTTCTCTTACCGCCTTCTCCATCTTATCAAAAATATTATTTTAATAGAAGATAAAGTTCAAACACTTTAACTTAGCATTAAATATCTGGTCCCCATCAATTGAGTTTAAACTCCACCCTACTACTCTTACTCATGTCCTCTATCTTGCAGAAAAATATGCTCTGTAGTCATCCACTTTTAGCCTTTTCTGCCATTGTTCCTGACATATACAACTATATATGGCACCTTGACAAAATAACATCCACTCTTACAAGTCAGTTCAAAATGCAATCTCTAAGAAATTCTCATGGAATTAATTTCTATGGAATATTTTGCTTGTTACTCTTATAACTTGTATCACACTGCCAATTATTACAATCACTCATTTATATAAATGACTTATCTACTAGAATTAACATCTCCTAATGTCAGGAAGTATATAATTAATAGCTCATAATCTAAAACTCACATGGCTTCTTCCATATTATCAGGTCAATAATGTTAAATTGAACATCTATCTATCAACCTATGTATCTGTGCATCCTTCTATCTATCCATCTTTCCATCTAGCCATTTATCCATCTTATACAGAAAATTACAAGAATTGTTAAAAATTTGTTAAAAGACGCCTCTCAAAACAAAGTTCTTCATGAGAAACAGTACTATACTGGAGCTGGTCTTATGCCAACCCCCGGCCACTCCAAAAAAAAAAAAAATAAAAAAAAAAAAAGGAAGGAAAGGAATGAGAGGAAGAGAAGGAAGGGAGAAACAGACAAAGAGAGTTTCATTTATGTGAATCATATCTGAAATAAATAAGAGCTATTAATTCTCCAGAGAGAAAAATACAGAGACTCCACTACATAATATCTGAATTCAAATGACATTCCTCTTAACAGTGTCCAAATGATTGCAAAAGATCAATGCTACAGAGAGTCAATACAAGGTTGAAATTTCAGATACTTTGAGCTGTGTGAGGATGAAAAGGGCTACTACCAGAGGCAGGGACTATATCACTGTATATGGTCATGTGTTATTTGAATGTCTGCTTAAGGAGATCTGTTCATCAAATAGACTGGATGCCCTTTACTTTTCTTTCCAATTCTAAACTTTGCAATTCTGCCCTATAATTAGGTAAGCAAATTTAAAAAAAAAAAAAAAAGGCTGAGTCTAAACTAAGACAATTACATAAGTATATTAATCAATAAGAGGGTCATTTAAGAGTCACAAAGGTATATTTTAGTTGGAAATACATAAAACTATATAAAAGATCTCTAAGCATCAAGTGGAAGAAGTTATAGGAAGACAAATACTATAGCTACAGAACATGGAGTAGAACATGGAGTCATCCAGTACAAGTAAGAACACTAGTCTCACCACAGTATTCATTTACTAGATATGCAAACTAGAATGAGTTCCTTACACTACCCAGACCTTCGTTTTTGGAAGATGGGGTTAATAATATATCCTCCAAGAGTTACCAAAGAAGCAGAACTAGTTAATTCATCTATAACACCTAGAATAATGGCATAGTAAGCACTCAGTTAAGATTACCTGTTTGTATAAGCAGTGGTTAAATATTAGTATTTTCAATCTTCTTAACCAGAAGTAGAAAATTAGGATCCAGATGGAACAGAATGAAAAAATTACTTTTCTAATTATCTTATCAAGTATGCTAACTTGTTAACACATTAATAATTTTGTATGGTAAAGGGATAAATAAGAACAATATATTCTGATTTATATTAATATTAAATATAATAACCTTCTTAAGAATTACGAAAAATTTTTGTTTGCCAAATCCTGTATCCTGAATTATAAATAATATAATGAATTTCTATATCATAATTCCAAACAAATATTCATCCAATTGAAAAAAATTGTTACAGGCTGAACTTTGTAAATTAGTTCAGGAAGAATTCTCGGTTCCTCAGCACAGACAACTTTAATGAAAGTCTTTAGTGGTGTTTGTATGAAATCACTCTGGAAACAAACTACACTTTTAAAAAATATTACAGCTGGATCATTCCATTAAAAAATAGATAATATTTTCCTGGAATATGGGTTAGCAGCTGTTTTCCATTGCTTTCAAATGTTCTTAACTTTGCTTCATCATTCCTTTCACTGCAATTTCTTTAGATGTTTCTCTCTCTCAGGGACTCTTGACATTGCTTTATAACTGAGAGAAGAGTCTTTTTGAAACCCTCATGGCAATGAGCCACAGCAAATTCTGGGTTGCTTAGGTTATCTCACCACTTTCCAGAGCAAAAATACCTCGGTTAATATCAGAGACTTTTTCTCTAAATCCAGAGCTCACATTCTTTAGTATTGTTTTATTTTTTTTTTAATTTATGAT